CCAATTCCTGTTGTGGGTTGGCTGGAGGTTTCAGGAGGCAACAAAAAAGCTAACCTAACAAACACAAACAAACAAAATTACATTTGTATAGTTTCTTTCACATTGGGAGGACGTTCCAAGGCGCTGGACAATCAAACAACCTAAGCCAAAATTACGTTCCCTTGGAAGTGTGAACCATTACATTTCAAGTGGCTGGCCTCTGGAGCTGTCTATTCTAATGATCCTCCATAAGGATTAATGAACTAGATGAATTAGAGAAGAGAAGCCAATGTGCAAGGATTTTATAAAGGCCATTCTCTAGTCAGAACTAAGCACTTTACTATTGTAAGTGAGGTCATTGACAAATTATCACTCTATGGAATGATGAAGAGTAATTTTAAACTATTTCCAAATGAATTACACATTGATAGTTATTGTGTTCTACAGAGATATAGCAAAGCTGTTGTGGTTAAGTGAGTCTAACTACTCAATTTCCAGTTTCAAAATGCACTGACCTGGCCAAACAGGCTGGAAAGTTTGCAGGTTTGAGTTAACTGAGTTAGCTGATCTCAGCAATGCCTGGAGTTGGAAGTGCACACACACATTTTCTCTAGTGGTCTCTGGACAGTGATCGAGAGTATAATCACTGGCTGGTGTTTTCCTCTCAAACCCAGAACCTCGGAACCTCCTCACCCCCTAGCTAGAAACAGCTTATAACATTGAGCTTTCTATGGCTCAATGCCACACTATGCAGTGCACTTATTGAGAAAGCTGAACATGTATCTGTTGTAACACGGCTGTATTAACATTCAAGGGCATCTCTCAAGTAAAGGCACTTTAGCAGATTATTTCTTCCTCTGCAATAAAGATGTGTCTCTTTCCATGATATTCACCCCTCACTCTTTTTGTTAATCCTCATTCCATTTCACTCCTACCCCTTTCTCACACTCTGTCCCCCATCTTGTTCTTTCTGTTCCCTGACCCATGCTGTTAGCACTGTCATTAGTAAGACATATTCAGCAGTAACCAATACTGTCAGTCAATGCCGAGTATCACTGCCTCAGACAGACATCGTCTTTGTATGGAGACGGAAGGACATTCTTTCGATCAGGATCTCTCTTCGATGACAGTATTTCAGTCAAGCAAGNAAAAATATGCACACCTGCACCACTATACAGGTGGACCCTCTCCCCTCCCCCACCTCCCGGGGGTCAGGGGTCAAGTACAGGAACGTCGCTACCTTAGCAACCAGGAATTTCAATTTAAGAATGCACGACAAATTGCACTTCAATTATTAGTTGAAAGCTGGATTGGTGCCGGAGACTGAGTGTTTCAGATTAAATGTGCCCGAGACTAGGCTATTTAGTGCATGCACAGACATGTGTACGAGTTCACATATGCTTTGCATGTGGTTCTTGATGGAGGAAGATGACAGAGTCTTACATTTTATGAATTAATGGACATCTTTTCACACAGTTTTTTTTACAGTGTGAAATATTTGTTGTTTGGGGTCTTTCGATAGGGACAATAGTTTAATTGTTGGATGAAGTTGAACTAAGAGACAGACAAAGGTATTGTAATTTCATGCAATAAGGTGGTATTGACTTACCACCGAAATGCAAAGTTGTTTGAACAGAATTTATCTTAAATGGGTCTTGAGAAGTCAATAATTTAGCTTGTTGTGTAATTGAGCTATGATGATATTGCAGTGCTTAAATACAAAGCAAGAAAAGGCCATTTGTCACTTCAATCACGCTCTTTCCACAATCTACAGGCAATGTACTCTATCACAAAGGCTATCCAATCCATTTAGTCTCTTGAAGTCCTTGAAGTCTTTAGTCCTGACCCAACTGTCCAGTGCCTTGGTACGTCCTCCTGACGTGAAAGACGCTCTATAAATGAAATCTTGTTGTTGTTGTTGTTGAAGAAAGGTTACTCAAGTCTCTCCATTCCCCTCAAAGGTAAACTTGTTCATTCAGATAACCAGATAAAATTGGTCTTTCACTTCAAGACTCTGTGAAGACATTGCTGCAAACAAATTGGCTGCCACAATTGCCTGCAAAATACAGCTGTTTTTCAAATCTTGTAAATTGATTGGAGACGTCTCAGCAGTATGATGAGATGCTATATCAAATCTAAGGACTATTATTGTCATAAACTAAAACAACCTCATTGTAGTCCCATTTGACCTTCCTACCTGTAATATTTGACTTGAGATGGTTCTAATCTCAGCAGATCAAGAACCATCTTTTGATCATCTCTTCAGTACTAATCTTTATAAACCTCAAATTTCACAAGATAAATTACAGTCTTTCCTATCCTGCTCTTTAAAAATGGTGATAATAATATGCACAGTATTAAATGCTTTAGTTTGGAGTGCGTCCAACATATCCATTACTCTATGGGTGGAGGAATTCCTTTGAATATCAAGTCTTGCTTGAGGCTTGTTAGTTTATAATCCTATCTACCAGTTCTGTGCTCACATTAAGTAATGTGTTTTGCATCTACATTGACTCATGCTCTCAGCATTTTAACAATTTGCATCTCGGCATCATTTCTCAGATCACAAATGAAGTCTAATGACCTGATTGAATGGTGGGCAGTGGTACTGATAGTCCTTAGAATGATGAAACAGATCAATAAGTTTCTTTCAGCAGATTCATCAAATGCAAATTGCATTGTATTTATTGTGCAGCGTGACTGCTGTGTGACTACCAGCACAAGCAGTGTTATCTTCAGTGTATATTCTAAGTATGTCAAGCAATCAAAAGGCTTCAGCTCCAGTAAGATCTTAAATCTAAGATAACATCTGGTGACTCTGTGACATGCAGGAGATTCCATAGAGACAACACACTTTTTAGCAGGCACTTTTTCAAGCAGCCATACAATGGTTATATTGCTCGAGTACTTCTGAGATGTAAAAGGTGCAGACTGCCAATCTCTTCTGCATTAACTGAAATGGGAAGCATTAAGTCCAAATTCAAATTGACAAGTAGAACCCACAACTAAATGCTTAGAGAGATATGTCAACCTGACATTTTTTTTTGAAAATCAATAAATATCTTAAGATTTTTAAAAAATCGAACACTTACACTATTTTGTTATTACAACACAATTATTGGACATTTATGTTCCATTTGACTGCATTAGGCTGAAATGTCACTGACTTCACGTGTTGGTATTTTTTGGCTGCGTTCTGTTGTTTAACGCATTGTTCTCTATGACGTCGCTCTGAAGACTTACAGGAGGTGACTCGCTTAACAAATTGGAGGGAGGAAGGGAGAAGAGAGAAGTGATTGAGATACACACATCTGGTAAAAAGGCTGATGTAGTGAAGGGAACAGTTGTTTGAATACACAACTGGATTACGTGCACAATGTGAAGGTTCAAGGCGCAAGTCCCACCAACAACAGCAACTTGCACTTATATAGTGCCCTCCATGTAGGGTAGCATCTCAGAGCGCTGAATGAATTTGATCTCGGTGCATTGGTGCTGTAATTGGCTTGAATGGGAAATTCTTTGTACCATTATCCTACAACTCAATGACAAACAATGAAGAGTCTACTTCACTTCAGGTGCTCAAGAGTTGGCAATCTCCTCGGATACCAATATAAGACGATTCCCTGCAACTGAGGTCAATGAAAGACTAATCTGAGAGTGAAAACTAAATGGAGGGGTGCATGTGTCCTTGATGTTTCTCTGTCTAACCATTTTTACTGCCTCAGTCTGGAAAGCTGAACCGCAGCATGCTGTTAATAAACAGTTTCATTACATTTGCTGCTCAGGGTGGCTGCACGTCAGGACAAACTGGAGAGGAGGAGATTAGAAGCAATTTATCTTTTCCCAAATGCACAAGTCATCAGCGGGAAGACTGACAGGCTGAGGGCCCTGCTGCTTTGAGAAAGGCAGGCAAAGTGCCAAGGCTCCAACCCCTTCTCCCAATTAAGTGTTTAAATACGTATTTTGCACCTCAGGTTATGTTGCAGAAAATTAAAGGTTGCTTTGGATTAAGTAGCTCATTAGCAGCTTTGTTTTCTAGTCTGTCTTGCAGGCCCAGAAAATGTCATTAGTGAAGTTTACAAAACAAATTCCTGCCCCTTTCCCCACAGCCCTCAGAGTGAGGGGGGGGGGGAACCTCTTGGAAACAGTGGTGTGTGCCTTATAATAATAATCCTCGCATTTGACATAGCACCTTATCACGTCGTTGAGACATCTCCAAACACTTAACAGAATATAATCTTAAATGGATTGACGGTGTGGAAGCGCGGCAGCCAATTGCACACAGAGGTGTCCCGCAAACATTTTTTTGAAGGGATCAATAACCCTTTTTTTATATAAATATTATTATAAATCATGTAGACTTTCAAAATCAATGTTTATTGGTCCAATGTGCAACTGATTCAAATGGAAGGATGCCCATTAGAAATCAACACATGCAAGAATAAAGAATCTAATTGGGAGCTCTTTCCGGGATGTAGAAGTGTATCACTCCGACCCATAAGATTCCCAATCATAAAATAGCCTTGAAATTCCCACAAGTTGGCACGTGGCACACTCGGGCTTTCTCAATGAAGGAATCCCAACAGAAATCATTGCATATTAGACCCCAATCCCTACAAATGTGAGCAAGTGTCAATCGCCTTGATACTATAACCAGAGAGCTTCTTCTGGAGGAGAGGCAACAAGCTGCTGAAAAGATGAATTAGCATTCCGGGAATATTAAAAGAAATGTTCTTCTTGACTCTGCCAAAAATGACAAATATTAATTAATTACTGCACGATATTCCCCCTTGAACAGGCTCGGCAAAGGTCACGGAGCGGACCCATTGCATTTTAGCTAAAAAAAATTAATGAATAGTCATGCGCCACCATTTTAGAGGCTTATTAACCTTGATGTAAATGATCATGATGGCTACTGTATATAACTGTATCAGCAATACGTCAGGCAACGCAAGCCTACCCCCCACTGCCCCACATACACACACACTCTCTGTGCTGAATTGCTGAGAGCAAGAGAGAGAGAGAGAGGGAGGCAGTTCAAGGAGAGGAGCTTTGCAATTTATTCAGCTGCCAGAGTGCAAGGTAAGCTACTGAGTTATGTGAAATGTTTGGCTTACAAACTGCTATCGTAGCGATTATTTGTTTTATAGCTTTTCTTCCTTGTACAAAACACTGTCTGCCGTGTGAGCCAAACCCATGCTTCCATCCATCACAAACAGAGCTTGTGAGTAAGTACAGCAACTTCCCCTTCCCCAAACCCTGTTTCTCCTTCCCCCATCCCATTACCAGAATGACAGTTCTTCCAAGCCAAGTGTCTCTACCTAGTAGCTCCTCACAGCCACACAACTGAGTGTCCAGCAAATCACCATTGGTGTAGGCCACAATGGGTTCATAACAAAGCCACCACTTTGTGACACAGAGCTTTGGTGAGATGCTGAGCGGTCTTCTTGCTCCAATAGTGAAAGCCGCAACACTGAGGCTCCAACCCCTTCTCCCGGTGTATATACATTTATGTATACATTTTGTGTATATACAGTAACTGCCGGACTGAGGAAAAGCTTAAAAAAAGAGTTTAGGGATACCCACAGGTGCAAGTTGTTAATTCAGTGGCAAATATCACTGTGAATTGGTACAGTGTGCTGAGACTGTACAACTTCTTTAAAGACATTATGAGGTAAAGATTCCGCCTGGGTCTAGATTCACTCTTTTGATTTAGTGTTTCACATTATTCAGAAGTTGGCAGATTCTTCAACGCAGTCTTGATTTGGAAGCTGTTTTTTTGTAAACTTCTTTTGACAAAACTGCTTTAAAGGTAAGAATGAATTCTACAATTTGCTATTTCTGGACACTCTGAAATGCTAAGTCAACAGAGTGAATCCAAGTGGAATCCCTCCTCCCCACACCCGCTCCCCAGATTGGAGTAGAAGACCTGTACAAATGTTAATTCCTGGATTGGCGTGTCACAAACTGTATAAAACAGTAACAAGAAACCATTGAATGTGAGGTTTGTTTTGGAGATATCACGTGACTAGCCTTCGAAGAGACCCTGGACACATAGTCACATTTGATCTGCTGTGTGAGAATCTCACAGTCATTTTGAATGTAGCACGCCATCGTGCTCATACCAAACACGTTCTTGTGCTGTTAGGCATCCCTGCGCTGCTCACACACAACACGAGAGAAGCTGTGCATTTTTGGGCTCAGCTCCCAAACGTTTTAATTTTATATAGAAAAAAGCAGACAGAAGAAAGGATAGTAATAGAGTGTTTCACTATTGCGGGTTTTATATATATATATTACATAAATGTACATACACACACACAAACACATGCATTTCAGTCTAGTACAGAAAGGCTTTGATTATGAACTCCTCTGATTAGGGCCAGGGTAACTCCCTATTCTTCATCTGGTTTCTATAACGTAACTCAACTGAGTTTAGTATGAGGTATTTTATTCCTAAACAGTACGCAGCTGTTGCTGCTGAATGCTACGGATCATTTTTTTTCTAGGTGACATTAACTAATGGGTTTGAGGATTAACAGTTCAGCCCTTTGAAGCTGCAATGCTCTTGAGAGCCGCTGAAGGGCTGGGATGCTTTGCAGTGATTGGCAGCGCAAAAAGATTGGGAGGCTTCGGAGAGGCCCCGTTGCCGTGGTGACCGGCAAAACAATTACATTCAAAGGATAACATCCAGGCCCCATAGTCGATCAATAAACTGTATCAGCATCCTTTCAACAATGCACTGTTTTATGAAGGAATACTTCAAATTAAACATAGGCTGCTGCCAAATCGGAGATAGACGAGAGGGGAGGAGGGCCGGATTAGGTTCGACAGTGATGTTTGCCACACAGTCAGTGTGGCTGTGAAATCCTGTGCTACACGTTCACCAAAATGGCTACTGGCTTGAAGAGCCAGAGGGAGAGCGACTGTGGCTCAGCGTGGACAGAAAATTGAAGGGAAGCTTCAAAGGAGGAACAAAACAGCCCAAAAACTGAAGGCATGTCCCAGGATTTGCTAAATAGTAAACAAATACCATATGATTAAAGAGGAAGCACATTTTGTTCAAAGTGCTACCCCTAGCCATAGAGGAAAGTAATCATTATAAATTATATTCTACTTGCAGCGAGGAATCTTTGCATTTCCACATTACCTGGGATCAGCCTCCTCTATTCCAAGTTCCTTTCAATGAGTTCAGCTACAGGGGATATAGGCAGGTATATAATGTTGTGACTGGTTACTGTAAATCAGGAACCAGATTCAACACACGTAAGGCAGCTATCTTAGATTCAACCAGGAAACATGAGAGTATACAACCCCACTAAACGGTTTTCACCACTTTCCTTGGGGCATCGTACTTGGACAATGCTTCTCCTGTAATATCCAGCGATCATCACTTGTCAGATGAATTTAAAGGTTTATTACCAAAGACATCCTTCACATTATGTGCACACATTGCTGAAAGGATGTTGAACATCCGTTCTGACAAAGGGTTGTGAACCCGAAACGTTGACTCACTTTCCTTTCTCCATAGATGCTGCCTGATCTGCTGAGTGTTCCCAGCAAATTCTGTTTTTGTTGAACTCTTAATGGCTTCCTGCTAAAATAGAAGTAATTTGTGTGCCAGGCATTGTGATGGGCTCGTTCAAAACCAAATGCTCCCAAAGTGCCGCACAAAACACTTATACATTTGTTAATGGGGAACATGCATAAGAAGGGTTGTATAGCACAGTGGTTTGGCTCAGCATCCTTTTGCCTCTAGGTTGAGGGTTCAAACCCAGCCCACGTCAAATATATAAAGTCATTTATCTCTCCAGGGAATTTGATGAATTTGAAAAGGAAATTAAAATGATAAAAAATTAAATCAGGAAAAAACATAGCCAGGGAAAAAACATTGCAGGCTGATCAGGAACGAAGAAGAAAATAGGTTAACTTTTGTGGGGGAGAATTCTTCCCCAGGACTGAAATGAGTTAAACAATCGTGACTAAATTTTCAAATGTTAATCGTCTGTAGCACAAAACTGCTTAAAATTCAGCACAAATTGTTAATTGATTCAAAAAGACTACGAGGACAGACAATATATGAAAGAATTAAAGACAATAGAATTTACAATCCAAATTTACATTTATATGGCACCTTTTGCTCTTGCAGGAAGGCTCAAAATGTTTAACACTGATGGTCTAGCACCTGAGCTGGGGGTGGAAGCTAAAGGGAAGAGGAAAGATGGCCGAAAGCGATGTCAAAGAGGTATGTATGTCTTAAAGGCTTTAGAGGTGGTCTTATGAGATTGGGCACATTAGAGTGAATTTCATCATGTGCCCAACCCAAGCTATATCTGACCTGGGAACACTTGATGTTGATACCTGGTGCAAAAAGGGAAACAATATATTTCATTCACCCTCATGTTTATCTCTCATGCTGATGAACACAATAACTCATGAAGTAAGATTTGCACGGGAAAGGCAGAGGGAGAAATGGGTGTTTATGCTTACAGATATGTGCTGAGAGGCGAGTGCTCCGTAAACAACCAACAGTAGGATACCAGCCTTGGTCTGTGACTGCATCATTTGTTTTAGAAAACAAAAGGCACAGATGAAAAGTTTCCTATTGAAATGCAGGCAGAATTCTAATAGCCACAAGCTAGCACAGTCTGTTAGCAAGGAGCTGAAATGTCATGATAAACCAAACGATTAGATAGTCAGTGCATTCTCTGTGCTATGGAATCTTTCACCCAGAAACTTAACGTTGCAAATTATTTATATTAAGCTGCAGTGTTATGAACAATGGTGTTGGATGGTACACTCCGATGAGCAACTTGAACTGTGTTGTACAGAATCCCTCACATAAGTCTTATTAGTTGGGTCCATATATTTAATATGACTTATGCAAAGTATGAGTTATGTCAAACATGCATGGAATATAAGCTCTTGAACAGGACTTGGGCAGATGTATGACTTAGGCCATTATACGATTTATACAAATCAGACTTTTGTGAGTTTTACTATAATTGACCGTGTGAGCTGAGTAGTGGTTTCACTGTTTGCAGTGGAGGAACAGCAAGCATTCAATAGAACGGTATTACACAGATTTCCTTTAAAAGCCTTTTGAGCTTTTGAGCTCAACATTTGGAGATATCACAAAATCCAAAATATTTTTTCTTATTCACCTTCTTTATCCAACCCATATTTATAAATCCACTGCAATTGGCACAGCAGATGACAGAGGCTTACGCTGTAAAACTATGGACACACTCCAAAACCGAGCTGAAGCAAACCTGCAGACTGCAGAAGATTCCTCTTAGGAGATAAATAATTTGACACTTTGCAACAGCAAAGGGCAACTTTTAAAACAAATGCAAGAGAAAGCCTTCCTTGTTCCTCATTATATTCTGAAGGCAATTTATCAAATGGATCAGGTATTCCATCAATATTTAATTACTGTTGGACTGTGTGTTCATGCTTAAATGTGTAATTGCTATTTATCTTCACTCTAACCATCTCTCAGGGCACATCACTACACACAGACTTCACGGTAATAGTTGGTGTACGGTCTACTTCAGAAAGGAAGGGAACAGAATTGGGCAGCATCATGTGAGAAGGTATTTAAACTTGAGTGGTTTGTTATGTGTGAGGAAACGAAAGCTTTTGAAAGATTCCTATTCAAAATCTCAAGGGCAAAATATCATCCTTAGATCATCCTTAAATCAATAATTGATGTGTCTTTCTGGACACACTGTAAAGTAGAGAGAGCTCTGCATTGGAGAGTATAGAGAGTAATTTTTTTTAAATTTTAACCATTCAGAATTTGTTACTGAAATCAGCGTAGAGAATGAAAGGAGTGCAGGTACCAATCACTTGGAAATAATTTTCCAAATGATTTATGGCACAACTTATTTATAATTTTCTGTGTAGATTGTAGCAACACATTTAAAGGCATTTGCTACTGAATCACGCTAGTAATAGGAGGCTAATACCATTCAGGAAGATCTGGATCAATTAAGCACATTGATCAAGGAATGCAGATAAATGCAAGAAAATGCTTATCCGAACAAGTAATTATAAAAATATGCAGGAAATTGTAAAGATATACAGGAAATTGTAAAGATATACAGGAAACTAAGTGTATCCATTCACAGAGGAAAGGAAAAGGATTCAGGTGTCATTACTGAAGAACGGGGTAAATTGCTGCTCCTCAATGAGATTCACTTGAGTTGAGAATATTGGGGATCTTCCCAAGTGGAATGAATGTGGAATGAGTGTCTTGTTGGGAGATCTGGTTTAGGTCAACAAGTGGGTAGCAGGCGATATTAAGTCCAAAATGTCTGACAGGTATCTCTGACGGTGCTTCAGGGACATGAAAAACCCACTGGAAACATAAAGATACAGCTAATAATACAGTACTAAAGAGCTTTACATAAATGATCTCTTCTTTGTAGAAAGACATTTTAAGTATGGAACCTTTTTGAGCAAAGTCCACTTGTACAATCTACCCCACTTGACTAAGCACACAATAGCTGTAGTGACACTTGAACTGGTCCCCATCTTAGTATTTACTGGGGCAATAGACTCACAAAGCACAATAATGGTCTGATTAACTAGGACACCAACCTATTTGGAAAAAAGATCCTGTCGTCCTTAAGAACAGCTGCAAATACGAAGCAGCATATTGATTAGAGCACTCTCCTCGCAAGCAAGAGGACCCAGGTTTGAAATCTGGGTCGGGCAAAACGTTAGGCAAGTTTCCTTACTCCACACGCTTCTATTTACCGCACAGTAAGTTGGAACCCGGTTGTTAGTAGTTTGGCAGATCGCTTTCTGGGGAAAACAACCTCTCCCCAAAAAGCACTCAATCCACGACCATTTGTGGGACACTGGTGTACTCAATTGACTGCCATGTTTAGCCCACAAATACACAGTCAATTCACTTTACAACCAAATAATAACAATAATCCTTGGATTTGATATAGTGCCCTATCGCGTCTTCAAGACGTCGCAAAGTGCTTCACAGAATATACTGAAAAGTGAATTGACTGTATATTGTGTGGGCGAAATTGCACTCATTAGTGTCTCACAAAAATTACTATTATTATTTTTTAAAGGCTTATTACCCCAGAACAGTGATCTGTCAATCAACTAACACCCAGGATCCTACTTTCTGTTAGGTAAACAGAGGGGTGTGGAGTAAGAAAACTAGTCCAACGTTTAGCCCTGCCTGGGAATCGAACCCAGGTCCTCTCGCTTGTGAGATGAATGCCTGTAACCACTAAGATACAGGACTCCACTATATATTCTGTATATAATGATTTGATATATGGCTTGATTTGATATAGCACCTTATCATGTCGCCCTTGCGACATGATAAGGTGTTATATCAAATCAAGAATTATTATTAAGTAAAATGGACCAGCCCTCCAAACAATTCCGCAAACCAGAAACATGGGTTGTCAAAGCAAGGAAGTCACCCTAAAGAAAAATAAGTGTATTCACTTTGAAACCCACCTACCGTGGCAATGGACTGGACCACAGGCCACAGCTGCACCCAACAGCTGTCAACCTGCCAACCACTTATCACACAATAAACTCAATCTGTTTAGAGCCACATATGCAGGAGGTTGCAAAAATAAATGAAACCACAGGCCAGAAAAAGTATATAAACAATCTTTGGGGGGCTGTCGAGATTCACAGAGAGTTGTACACACTCCTAGATGTTTTTTCTCTTTGAAACTTTTTTGCTGACATCTGGAGATATGCTATGTATTCCACTACCCTTAAAAAGAGACAAGGCAACAGACGTTACAATTAGTCTTCTCTCCTTCCATTCATTACTGCCCACACGAGCAATTTAATTCATAAAATATACTACAGGGCTTGCAACACTATCTGAGCTTTTCAAGATTCAAGGCTACTGTACATTTAGTCACTTTCTTGTGAAGAATGATGAGACAAGCTTGGGCTCTTCAATCTTGAAAGAAAACACCTCAGAGGGGATCTTATAGAGGTGCATATTTTTTTAAAAATGAGAATAAAACATAAACCCAGAACAATATTTTAGGATGCACCAATACAGTAGAACAAGAGGACCCAGATTTCGGGTTGCAAAGGGCAATTTCAGGGCAGATACCAGAAGGCTTTTTTTTAACCACAAGGTAATTAACAACTTGCACGGATTGCCAGCTAAAACTCAATCATATGAGGAATTGAATCTGTGATTTGCCACTGTACCAAAACAACAACAACAAGATTGCATTTATAGAGCGCCTTTCACGTCGGGAGGACATCCCAAGGCGCTGGACAGTTGGGTCGGGACCCGAGCAGGTAGGCAAATGGTCAGGGTGAGGGGAGGGAAGGGAGGGAGTGAGGAGGGGGTAGAGAGTCAAGAGGGGAGCTGAAGGCACGTTTGAAGAGAAAGGTCTTGAGACCGGCCTTGAAGGAGGAAAGGGAGGAGGCGGCGAAGGCACTGGGGGATGGAGTTCCAGAGCCTAGGGGCTGAGAGGCTGAAGGCCTGGCCACCGATGGTAGGACGGTTGGGGGGGGATGTGGAGCAGACCGGAGCCAGAGGAACGGAGGGTACGGGCAGGTACGTGGGGGGATAGTAGGTCGGAGAAGTAAGAGGGAGCAAGGCCGTGAATGGCCTTGTAGGTGAGGATGAGGATCTTGAATTCAGGGAACAACAGCATCAAATTTGTGATGGGTCTTGAAAGAGGCAAGTGAGGGGAAGAGTTGGAGGGACTGCGGGATGGAGTTCCAGAGGGTGGGGGCAGAATGGTTGAAGGTGCAGCGGACGAGGATGGGACGTGAAGCAGGCCATAACCTGCTCAGCGGAGGGAGCGGGCAGCATGGTAGGGGTTTAGGAGGTCACAGAGGTAGGGGGGAGAAAGGCCATGGAGGGCTTTGAAAGTGAGGACCAGGATCTTGAACTGTATCCTCTGTGTGATGGGAAGCCAGTGGAGTCAGGTGAGGATGGAGGTGATAGGGTTGCAGAGCCTGGTGCGGGATAGGACACAGGCTGCAGAGTTCTGGATGATCTGCAGCCTATGGAGGGAGGAGTTGGGGAGGGCAGGTCTGCGAAGATTGAGCTGAGAGGAGATGCAGTTTCAGAGGATAGTATGGTGGAAGCCAATTTGATAACAACTTTTAAGAGAGTAGATAATTATTTGAGGAGGATAAGTTTGCAGGGCTGTGGGGATAGAGCGGGGGAGTGGGATTGAATTGGATAGCTCTTTTCAAAGAGCCAGCACAGACACGATGGGCCGAATGGTCTCCTTCAGTGCTGTATAATTCTATCATTCTATGATTCTATGACATTGTCGAAGGCATCAGAGAGGTCAAGGAGGACAAGGAGTAGAGAGAGCTCTGGTCGCAGATGTTCAGAATGTCATTAGTGACTTTGACCAGGGGTGTTTCTGTGCTGTGGGCATCACGGAAACCCAATTGGAACAGCCTATTGTGCCAATCTGGGGTTACTCTCTTTCAGCAAATGTAGTTCCAAAGCTACCAATGTAAACTTCAGGTAATCTGAGGAAAACTTTGCAATTAAGGCAAAAAAAAAACTTGAAAATCTATGTTCCACTAACTTTATTAGAGCAATCAAAAGAATAATTTGGGCTCAGCCTTCGAGTGTTTATGCAAAATTCTCAGCTTTCTGTGCTGTTTATGCTGTAATTAGCACATTATCCAAGAGCTGCAAAACAGATTACTAGTCTTTTAAACACTGCAGTAATTATAGACATGGAAAATGGGTCTGTGATTTACAACCCATCAGAAATGCAAATCAATGGAAACCAACACACTATTTGCTAATTTGAGATACTCACTTCTCCGAAAAAAAACTATCTGAATGTATCCAGTTCACATGTGTAACTTCCTTGTCCACCTACCTTCAGGCTGTTGGATTAAAGGGTGATCCTCTATACCATCAGAACTGGGCACTAAGCAGGAATCTTTTAGAATCCAGAAACTACACATTTTGCCAATCTGCTGGAGGTGATATTGACATCTCAATCTCCTTTTAATTCTAATTTAGACTCAGTTGGGAATTGAGAGAAAATTGGTTGTTTCCTCTTCCCTCCACACTTTCTGAAGTACTATTGTTTTCTAAATTAGTACAATACAATTTACATTTATATAGTGTCTTTCACATCCAGAGGATGTCTCAAAGTCCTTCAGATAGCTGGCTGGGAACCCAAGCTGTGGGTGGGGGTGGGGGAGGTGAAAGGTGGAAGAGGGAGGAAAAGATGACTGAGAGTGTTTGAAGAGGTAAGTCTCAAGGTGAGCATTAAACATGGGGAGGGAGGGATGGTGTTTCAGAGAGCAGGGCAGAATGGCTGAAAGGATTTAATTATTTTGTCATTTCTATTCTCCTCTTCCCTGTCATCCTCCTTTATCCCCCCCCACCATCCCCCTCCCTCTCTGGCTTTGGTCCAACAAAGCCATTAGAGCCATCCCCTCCGTCTCTTCTCTGTGCTGTCTCCCCTACCGCCGCTATGCCTGCGGGCTGACTATGTCCCGCTGCATGCTTTGCTCCTGGTCTCCGCATGCATGCTTTGGCTGCTGGCCCAACCTGAGTCAACTCCACCCCCGAAAATGCTCCCTTTCTACTCCCCACACTCTGCTATTCTCAATCAGTCCTTCTCCCCCACCATCCTGCTTGCCTTCTTTCTCACCTGGACCTCATCACTGACTTCTTCTCCACCCTCCAAAGTCAATTCTCCCCCACAGCCTAAAACCTTCCCTACCCTCCCTCCAAAGCCCTCCTCCACCAGCTCACCCTCTCGCATTTCTCTCCAAAATGTCTGCTCCCTCTCCAATAAAGCCCTAATGATCCATGGCCTCAACCTGGATGAGAACATTGATATTCCTGGGACAGACCAGTCACCCTGATCGAACCCTCTCCCCCTGGCTACACCTTTCACCACATCCTCCAATGCAGCAGCGGAGTGGCCCTCATCTCCCAAACTTCCCTGACTCTATCCCCCTGGCTCCTTCCCTTCTTTTGAACACTTAACCCTGTACCATGCCTCATTCTCCTTCAAAATCCTCCTAATTTATTGTCCTCCCAAACTGTCTGGTTCCTTCATCTCTGCCAAATATACAGTCAATTCACTTTACAATCTATTCTGTGAAGTGCTTTGAGACGTCGAGAAGATGTGAAAAGCGCTATATCAAATGCAAGGATTATTATTATTATCTCCTCCCACCTCTTATCCCTCTGGCTCTGAACACTTGATTATAATGGATGATTTCAACCTTCACCTAAACTCCCCTTGTCCCATCTCCTCTGACTTCACTAAAACTCACCCTCCACATAAACTTCCCATCCCCCATGGCCCCCACCTCAACCTTGTCGTCATTCATGGCCTTGATATCTCCTACCTGTCCATCTCAGACAAAGCCATCTCAGACCATATTTCCTCATCTCCCTTACCTTCCGCATCCCCCTCCCATCTTCCAAGCCTTCCACCATCTTTTTCCAACCTTGGAAAAATCTTCCACCCAAGTCCCTTATGAACGCCCTGCCCTCTCTTCCTTGGATCTCTTTTCAATCTGCACTTCCACCCGCAGCAATCCTGATGCAGCCATCAAGCTGCTAAACGATCGCCTCTCTGCAACCCTCAACTTTCTTGTCCCCCTGAAATCCAGGTCTGTCTCCAAATCTACCCACTCCCCCTGGTATAACAGTCACTTTCGTTCCCTCAAACCTAAAACCCTGACGCTCAAGCTCAGATGACACAAATCTGGCCTCACAATCCACCGCCAGCTGTGGCTCGACGGTCTCCACAAATAACGCTTCTCCCTCTCGCAGGCCCAAACTACCTTTTACTCCAAAACCATTTTGGAGGCTAAAACAACCCAAAAGCACTGTTCACCACCATCCATCACCTCCTCCGCGCACCCCACCCCCACAAGCTGCCTCCATCCTCACTTGTTATGCTAAGTGCGAAAAAGTCCTAGATTTTTTCATGTCAAAGATTGAAAATATCTGTTTGGCTATGCAGCCCTCCCGTGTCCCCTTCCGCACCCCCCAGAACATCTACACAACCCCCTCCTTCCACTATGGCCCCTACCATGCCCCCACTCCCTATACTCCTTTGCCCCAATTACTACCACCTCCCTCTCAAACACTATCTCCCAAATGAAGCCCACCAACTCCTGCCTCAGCTCCCTCCCCACCCAGTTGCTGGTCACTCAACTCCCCCTCCTTTCTCCATTGCTGGCCGACACAGTCAACCAGTCACTCTCCTCAGGTTCTGTTCCTCTCCCCCTTAAAACTGCTGTCATCACTCCCCTCTTCAAAAAATAACACTCTTGACCCATTCTACCTCACAAATTACCGACCCATTTTCAATCTGTCCTTTCTTGCCAAAGTCTGCCACACTGCCCATAGCACAAAGATGGCACTTGTCAAGGTCACAAATAACTTCTCCCTTTGTGACCAGGGCTCTCTCTGCTACCTCATTCTCGTGGACCTCTCTACCATGTTCGACACAGTTGTTCATGCCATCCTCATCCATCACTTCTTCTCCCTCATCCACCTCAGTGGAATCACACTAGCTTGGTTTGAGTCCTACCTACAAACCGTTTTCTCTTTATCTCCTCAAGCGGTTGCTCCTCCCACCCCCACCCAGTCATTTCTGGTTTACCCATCCAGGTCCCTGACCAGGACCCCTTCCTCCACTTCTGCCACATTGCCTCTCTCCAACCGTACCTTACCCCAGACGCAGCCAAAACATTTGTTCATGCGTCCGTCCCCTCCCAACTGGACTTCTCAAATGCCCTCTTCACCAATCTCCCCAACTGTACCATTCACAAAATCCAGCTGATCCAAAGCTCCACCACCCTCACCTGTACTGAACTCCGTACCTCCATCACACCAGTTCTAACCAGGCTCCACTGACTCCCTCTCACCGAAGGGATTGAGTTCAAGATCCTCACACTTGTTTTCAAATCCTTTCATGTCCTGCCACCTCCCTATCTCTACAACCTGCTCACCCCCCACAACCTGCTGCCTCCACTCGACTGGCTCCGGACTTCTGCATGTCCCTTGTGCCCTCGATTCCACCATTGATGGCCGTGCTTTCAGCCGCTACACCTCAAAACTCTGCAACATTCTTCCCCTATTCCTCTACCTTGCCCCTTCCTTCCCCATTTTCAGATTGTGCCTGAAGACCTTCCTATGTGACCAGGCCTATGGTCACCTCCCCCTAGCTCAGCATCGAGCTCCACCACTGTCAAGCACCCTGAGACAGTACCCTGCATTAGGGGCACTATATAAAATGTATACACTATATGTGCAAGTTGTTGTTGTTGCAATGGTAACCTGACTGACACCGTCCCATTTTCATTGACTTCCAGAGACTCAAACGTACCACACTGCACTCTGCCCTGGATAAATGCATAATCTACTGACAGAGAGTCAGTTTTCCTCTTAACCACCCACAGTCACTACCACAAGCAAGATGGAAAGCAAAGACCCTCTACATTTGATCCCAAATTCAATCAAAGCAGCCGTTCTTGGCAGCCAAGACAAATGGACTCTGTACAGTGACTTGCATTTTCCCATTATTATCTGTGTTCATCCAAAGAAAGATGCATTCTAAGGCTAAGTATGGAAGATCACAAATGGGCCTCATTTCATTTTCTCCTTGAAACTGAATTTGAAGCTGAACAAAATTATGTCAATCAACAAACTTTGTCTATTGTAGCTGTATGGAATAGATTCCGGAAATCTGGAGAAGATTCCCAGGCAACATAATAGATCTGGAGCCTGCCAACTTGGATTAGTGTGGATCACCACTTTTATGATATGCATTCCATTATTATCAAGAATCCAACTGCTGTATACATAATATACTTGAGGGCTACTGCCCAGAAAACCACATCTTTGGGTGTTGGCTGACCACATGGAAATAAACGTAAACAACATCCAGAATCTAACTGAAACATCCTAAAAGAAACAATCTTGAAAATACCTTGTTTTCTGACACTCATGTACACAGAGATTGGAGGTTGTACACAGGTTCCCTTCTTATTAGGTCGGCATTTGTTTTGCACTACACATTGCTATTTGTCTCTGGCAAGTTCCTGAACTTTGCCTGTAGCCTCATGCTCTCGCGCAAAGTTTCCACTGGCTTTGGAGATTATGGGTGTCCTCCCCAAATAATAGATAATTATTTGGGGAGGACAAGTTTGCAGGGCTATGGGGAGAGAGCAGGAGAGTGGGATTGATTTGGATAGCTCTTTTCAAAGAGCAGACACAGACACGATGGGCCGAATGGCCTCCTTTTATGCTGTATAATTCTGCAATTATAATTCTATAATTCTTATGGACTGTGGATGTAAATGGTGATTCCCCATTGTCTGCAGAAGGCTTCACGGGAGTAAGTTAACACGAAAGGTGCTACATAGATGCAAGTTGTTGTCCATCACACGCTGATTAATAACAGTAGCAATCTTTTCACCACACATTCAGAATGGGAAACCAAATAAAAAGATTTGCTAATATCTAAAATCTGCAAGTACTAGGACTGGTCCCCTCAGTTCCCACCCACTCCGCCCCCATCCCCACTCCACACCCCCCACTCCCCTCCACTCCCACCAACAATAAGACAGGTGGTTGAAAATGAACCTGAGGCACACGGCACAATCGCAAATAGACGGACTCGAAGAATGTTCCATCTTAATCGGCTCCTAATAATAATAATCCTTGCATTTGGTATAGTGCCTTATCACATCATTGAGACATCTCAAGGTGCTTCACAGAAAAAAACTGTAAAGTGAAGTGATATATTTTGTGGGAGAAAGAAACAAGTGGATCCTAGAAACAAGAGTGGTAACCTGGAAAAAAACTGACATAGACGTGGCAACTCTATGTCCTGCCCCTGCCTGATTTCTTGCAAGAAATAATAAAATCATGAGATGGAATGTCTTCGTTTCTGCAACACACACAAAAATACATATGGGATCTGTAAAAATTGAATTAAATCAAGGAAATACACAGAGGAATGTGGGAGGAGATAGAGTAGTAGGTATGGCAGACATAGGCAATAATTACTGAAATAACTGCAAATCTATCCCTTTAAACAAAACCAGGTTCTTTTTCTTGTACATAAATGATGCCTATTTTCTTTACATATTAGTCTCAAGACCCCTAGTCTTCAATTTCTGTTGAATGAAAAGTTTAAAGCTGATCTCTCTCTAGTTACCCAATTTCCTGCCTTGCACCCTTTCTCTCCTGCTCCCCTCTCCATTCTGAGTGCATGAACAAATATCTATTTCATTTTTCATTCCGACTCACAGTAGAAGCCCATTTGACAGAACGCCGCACTAGGACCTTGTTATGATTCTTTGCCTCACAACAAAAGGACCCATAATCTTTAAAAATCCTTTCATTTGATTTAATAATAATAGTAATAATAATAATAGACTAAGTGAAAACAAATCTCAAACTTCTCGAGAAGTGGTAAATCTAGGTTAGACCCCACCTCCCACCCTCCGACTCCAGTACTCCTTGGAGAGGCCAGTGGCTCAGAAACATTGGCCTTCACTGAGCTGGTCTACCTGTGTAACTGCAGGTGGTGCACATTCACAGGAGGTTTGAAGAAAAAAGAGGAAGAATCTTTTAAAATGACCTTTTTTTAAAGTTTGTTAATGTCTGATTGTTTGTGGGACATTGCTGTGTGCAATTGGTTGCCATGTTTTGTCCACAAAATACAGTCAATCCACTTCACAATATATTCTGTGAAGCGTTTTGAGACGTCTCAAAGATGTGGTAAGGCATCATATCAAATACAAGGATTATTATTATTATCTTATCCAACTTGAAACTGGTACCATTTTTCAAGTCAAATAGCCAGTGTTATGGAATCTGATTGTGATATTGAATGTGACATGATTGAAATCTATTTTAATCTCAGAGATTGTGAAGAGATTGTATTTTTGAGAGTTCTGATATCAATACTTTTAACTCCTTGCATGCCACTCAGCTGTTCTGCCTATATTTTATTCTGAACAGAATAAGTGTCAAGGAAGTGTTAACTGGGACCATTTGGAGATTGAACTATTCAACTCCCCAAGTAGGACGCTAGGTTGCAATTCCGTGGGCCCTTTGAATTGAAAGCCAATTAAGATGCACCCCCGGGGAAAACAGATGCTGGTGTGTCCAATGTAAATGGAAAGCAGTTGTTCCCCAATTCCATATACCTGATTCTTCTCCTCCTGTTTCTCTGTGAAGCTACAAAGTATAGTTCAGAATATTGAAGCACTGTTCACTGGATTAGAACATGTCGCTCTGTACATCCTGTCTTATTAAAGTGTTCCATGTGCGAGTTTGATTTGCAATGCAAGCAAGCTTTCTAAAGTAGATGTTAAGTGTGGAGGCGCACATGCAACCAGTTTATTGAAGCTGGTTAGAGTTTCTCAATGATGCAGAATAGTGGCTATGGTTAGGTACAAGGCAGCGGATGATTCATAGTCCGATGATTCAAAAAGTAAAAGCGCAAACTTTGCTATGTTTAAGAACAGCCTCAGGATATTATAATTCAGTTGGCTTCTGGATCTGCATGTCAGTGTATCTCCAGAATCCAGGCATGTATGTTTATCAGGTTCCAGATTGCTGGCGAGCAAGGACACTTTCAAGGAGACTGGGTTCTTTATTACTAAGGGTTAAAAGCTTCAGTGGAATACATTAACACAGGGTGTAGCCTCAGTCTCCCTGTTCAAATGGTTTTATAATAGGATTGTTGCTGTCAGAATTTTATGGTTGTGGTAAGAGCTATTCACTCGCGGATACAGGAACTATTAAGCACATTGGACAACACCTTCAGCCTTGTGCTTATTGCAATGGCTCAGACCCTTGGCTAACGGATGAAGCCCTCAATCACAGTCAGCAGTTAACATACATGGTGCACAGATATAAATCTTGCATGTTATATGCAGTGTATAAAAAAAACTATTCTTTCAGCCAGATGATGATTTGGGCTTCTGTGTTATTCTCCTTATTTTCTCTCAGAAAACAAGATTGAGGCAGGAACCAACTCATAGCATGTAATCTTCAGGGGAACCTCTTTCAGTGTATTGGTCAACCCAGTATGTCTGTGTGTTGCAATGTACCAATCATGTACCAAACAATTATATCAACCATAAGAAAATGTTTCACTATTTCTGATCTTCATGAAGAGCTTTTCAAACACAACCTCATGTTGCCGGGTGACTTTGACCAGTGTGGTCTGGCTGCTGAAAATCTAGATAGTGAAGCTGCTTCTCACAGGGTGGCTATGTAACTATGTGTGTTCAAGTTTGCTTGGTCAGCTGCGGAGCTGCGGTTAATGGAAGTTCACTACACTCGGACTTCCAGAGCATTCTGCCAGCTTCTCGAACCCGCACACAGGAAACCGTCTGGTCAGTGTGACCATTCTTGCAAACGTTCATTCTAAGTGCAGTCGTGGCTGACAAGCCACCTTCCTCCATTTATTGCAAGAAGACAGCCAGTCTGACTTGACATCCTGTCATCACCGATCATCAGGCCAGCGGCTATTTCATGTTCATAATCCCGTCATAATTATATGTAAAATCTTTTTTTAAAAAATCTGAAGCATTATAACAGGGTTTCCCTGTCCAAGCTCCTTCTAGTGCCTTTATCTACAGCAGGAGCTTGGTGGTGGTGCTTGGTGGGAAGATATTTCTGAGGTACTAGTAACAGCAGATCACTATGACTATGACATGTGTGTCAGATTTCTTCAACACACAACTCTGGTTGGGTGCATGGAGTGTAGTAACTATGCAGCGGGTTCTGATGAAGTATGTGTTCATGCAATTGTTGAGCAAGGACAAAAGCGGGCTTGGCTGTAATGGGCACTGCCCTCCCCCCAACTCAACATAAAGTATAGCCTTAGAGGTATGCAGAGCAACACACGGGAGTCACTTGTTTCAGGGAAAGAGGGGTGAAGGGGAGGGGGAACCTGCAAAGCAAGGAGCAGATCTGAAAAGACTTTGATTTAACAGGGCTGACGCAACTCCCCGTTATTCAAGTTTTAGATGCACGTTGTTGTAAAACTCTTGGCAAAATAGATCCAACTGAAAGTTATGTGGGCAGAGGTTGGTTTCAGTAAGACAGTCACAATAGGCCGATACAAAAGAAAACGCCTCTTTAGGAATGAAATATTGGCAAGCTTGCTGTATGCCAATAGTGTAATGCTCTTTTGAACTTTGGCACTGACCCAGTCTCCCTCTAATCAACCTCCTTGGTCTGACCATTTCCCGTGACACTGTCGCAAATCTCCCACCCAATTCTATAACCTGCTCTGGTTACCATGCTATATTGAAGCCATTTTCTGTCTTCTGAGACTGTCAGTTAACAGCACCATGTTTGCCAATGTTGCAAAGAGCTTGAGAGAATAAGTGCCATGGGATCGGCCAAGATCAAACACCTCTATTCCAGAAATTAAACATAATAAATAATGGGCGGGGACACGGAGAGAGAGGGAACCCATGATGAAATCACATGA